CGTTGTTTCCCTTGTATTCAAACACCATTACATGCCAAATGTGTGTCTCTTCGTTTGCCATCACTATAAAGGATTAGAGTATACTAAGCTTTACACATTATATAGGCTATACTAACATGACATTTAGTTGATTCATTTAACTGTTATACGTGATGTATGTTTTTTTAAGGTGGTTAATGAAAGTGTTCCAAAATGCAACATTAATTTTTTGACTACCTAACACATTATGTAAATTCTAAAACCTTCATTTGAACACCTCTTCATGATCTGAGAGTAATAAATATCTTGCATCAGAAAGGGCTATTACATACTTCTAAAAGCAATAAAGGGTTTGTGGTTATATTACCTATGTAACACCAGAAAGTATCAAAATGTAATTCTGGTACTTATTGTTGGCTATGGTTTACATGGGATATGCTGCTTTGCTATTCTAGATAAGTTTAATATAATTTACTCAACCTTCTGTATTGGTCATGTAATGTTGTTATGCTCAACAAAGTGAAACTGATGTGTGGATTTTATGATATAATATTTGATAAATGTTATTCAGTCATCTTCTTTAAAAAAATCATAAATATCATTTGACATTGACTGACTCCTGTATTATAACACACATTCTTGTGTAATACATATTTCACCAGAAATGGACGTGGTCGTGGTGGAGTGTATTGTGCTGCTAATGCAGCCATAGAACAGGTAGTGCAGCATGGAGAAGTTGATGTTTTTCAGGCTGTTAAAACTGTTAGAAGACATCGTCCTCAGCTGTTCGAAAATATGGTAAGCTCAACAGTTATCACTATCTTAGCTGTCTTGCTAAGGTTTCTTTTACCAAAGACTTTTAAAATTTACTGAACAATTAGAAAGCATCTTTAAAGGTGATTCAAAACCGTACAAATTTTAAGGTGACAAATGTTCTGAAGTTTCATTTTTACAGATCGAATAAAGCCCTGTAGTTTTTAATTTTTCAGTGAGTACAGCATATTGACAAGCATATTATAGAGTACAGATCATCATATCAAATTGTTTAGGTTGATACATAATCAAAACTACAGACTGGTGTATCATATCATATCATCATAAAAAATTGATTGTTAGTTCAGTGCTTCTCAACCTATTCCAATATCATTCACCCTATTAGTTTTTCACTTAACCAAGTTTGAAAAAATACAAAAAAAGTACTAAATTAAAATGCAAAATTCTTTATTATGACTTAATTATATATCAAACTACAACTAGAATGAATACAACATTAAATAAACAAAAAATAAATGTATTTATCAGACTACAACTAGCATAGATAGTAATAACTAATGACTTTTTGGCTCTTGAATTTGTTGTATAATTGGTAATATTCATTCACCCCATGATTCTAATTCACCCATTTGAGAAGCACTGTGTTAATTTACTGTCATAACTACATACTAGTGTATCATAGTACACAGATCATCATAACAAAGTAATTTGGTTAATACATTATCATAAATACATATTAGTGTATCATATTGTACAGATCATCACAACAAAGTGATTAGGTTAATACATTATCATAACTACACATTAGTGTATCGTAGTGTACAGATCATCATAACAATCTGATTAGGGTAATACATTATCATAACTACAGACTGGTATATCATGGTGTGCAGATCATCATAACAAACTGATTAGTTTAATACATTATCATAACTACGTATTATTGTATCACATTGTACAAATCATCATAATGAAGTGATTAATACATTATATTATTCAGTACTAGTGCAAAAGGTTGTCACCTTCACTCTGTACTTTCTGTAACTAGTATTTATCACAGTTCTATTTCTATACTTTTAGAAATTAATTATCACTTTCCCTTTTACCAGACAGAGTACAAGTACTGCTACGACCTCCTTCTACACTATGTCCTGCACTATCTCCATAAAGAATGAGTAACATAGAAATTATTCTTTTGTGGTTTTACTGCTCTTCTGAAAAGTTCAGGAACTTAGGAGCTGGGCCCCTGTCCTCTCTGGTAGAGGTTCGAGTTATTCCTGGTCCAAGTATAGATGAGAGGGAAGAGAACTCTCTTCTGCCAAAGAATAGTTGGATTTATTTACTACAAGTTGGTTAATGTTTGATGTGAAATTTCTATTTCATGTTTTTTTTACATTATCAAAGTCATAGCAATTGCAAGAAATAATTTTGAAAGTAAAGATTTACTTTGTGTAGACCTATATGTAGACTTTATTTAAATTGGTTTCTCAATATCGACATCTAAGTAAAACAAAAAATTGAATTTCTTTGTACTGAATTGAATTTTGAGTTTTAAGATGAACCAGTAAAAGTTTAATGGAAAAATAATTCCTAGTTTTATAGTAAATTTTAAAAATTATTTAAGACACTAGTTAAATTAACAAAACACTTAAGATGTTCGAAAGTTTGCATCAGAGTAAAAATCCAAAACTTGCAGAAAGTCCACTTTCCAAAACTACTATGTTTATGGGGTTTCTCTTGTGATGTTAACTTAATTAGATAGTTATAGTTGTGTAGAATTATTTGGCTAAAATTGTGAATATATAAATCAAGAAAATAATTTATTTAATGTAGAATGAAGCAGCATAACAGATAGGCAGCAAATTAAATATTTTCTAACAGTTATCATTGTTTTCAGATCAAGATTTTATGCTATTGTTCATGTGGAGCTTTGTAAGTCTATAAAATGTTTACTGAATATATATTTTCAAGGATTTATGAAATATTTGTATATTTTCACAGCTAAAAGGATGGTAATACTTACAGTAAGAGCAATGAAAAACCATTCCAGGAACTGTTTGACTGTGAGCAGTGAGGCATTGTATTTAATTTTCAGTTGGCTACATATACACATAAGACCTTTGCTGAATTGTGTATGACAAAACCAGAGTCAGTATGGTTTTATGTGCCACATAACACTTGTATTGAAATGTATTACATAGCCACTTTCACAAATGCATTCTGGAACTGTATCAATCATTTGTATTTTTGGACATGGTTACATTGGGTCATCCAATGCTTCTCTTAGGATACATAGATTCTTGAACTGCTCCTTATGTTCTACCATGTACAACAGGCTTGTTCAAGTATGCAAGTCTAGCTGACATTGAGTCATCCAATGCTTCTCTTAGGATACATAGATTCTTGAACTGCTCCTTATGTTCTACCATGTACAACAGGCTTGTTCAAGTATGCAAGTCTAGCTGATATTGAGTCATCCAATGCTTCTCTTAGGATACATAGATTCTTGAACTGCTCCTTATGTTCTACCATGTACAACAGGCTTGTTCAAGTATGCAAGTCTAGCTGACATTGAGTCATCCAATGCTTTCTTAGGATACATAGATTCTTGAACTGCTTATCCTTTTGTTCTGTGATATACAACAGATTTATTAGAAATGACTACACACATCCATCTCATGTACCACAGAAAAGGTCTATACTTTTTGTGAACAGTCATCATTCTGGTATTATCTGATTACAAAGCTGGTAGACTAAAATTTGAGTTTGTAGTCCTACATTTACTTCAATGCTCCACTCTCTCTTCCTTTTCATTTTAAATTGTTTACAATCAGTTGTTAACAATATCCTATAGGTGACTTTGTCGCCTCACTCGGAAAAAAAAAAAAGATCTAAAACACCATAAATGCATTTTTAACCCTTATGTTTGTATTACTGTTATTTAATGGTGTATAATAAAATAAACCAATTGTTATTAAGTGTAAAGACTGCGTAGTGCAACTAGAAATATACTTGCAGTGTTCCTCTTTGCAGCTTGTGTTTATATTTTAAGAAAACGTGTAAATCAATACCATTTTCGAAAAATTTAAGGTTGTGCTATTTGTTATGACATACTGATCTTTATATTCAGCAGCCAAAGCAGTGAGAAAAATCATGTTTTATTTGACTATTTACTGAGAAACAAACAAATTTTAAGAAAATACGCGATAAGTGTGGTTTATACTTCCTTCTTTAAATCTAGGTTTGAGCTCTGTTTAACTGGATAATTCAATCAGTTTGTAAACACCACATTGTTGTACATCAACTATTGGAACATGGTCTTCCTTATCCAATCAGTTTGTAAACACCACATTGTTGTACATCAACTATTAGAACATGGTCTTCCTTATCCAATCAGTTTGAAAACACCACACTGTTTTATATCTGGAAATACAGAGTTCAGGGATATTTACCACAATCTTGACATCATATTATTCTGTGGGCTTATTTTAGATTTTTCTTATTAGTTAAACCTGCAACTGTATTATTGGTGTTAATTCAGAAGGAAATCAGTGTCATGATCCATCAAGAATTCAGCATGGTAAAAATTCTTGTCAAATCTTAAGCTTAAAGACAGCTCACATTATAAACAATATTGATTAAAAGTGTACTTGCTGTAAATGTTCTTTATTTGGGCTACTACTGATGTTCCCGTAAAATGGTAATTGACCAGTTTTGGAGAAATTTTACTCTCAAAGTAAAGGAAGTCCAATTTTGCTTTTCTATTTATTTAATAGATGCTATTTGTAATTGTGAAAACTTCAGTTTTTCTGCAACTAGTTGAAATAAAAGCTTCTTATTAAACAAAAACCAAATGTCATGTTTAAAAAAAGGATAGTGATGAACCTTTTATGTGGGCATGAAAGAAAGGCTATCTAAGTTACTTTAAAACTGTCAGGCAGATACATTGTGCAACTAACTAGATTTCTCGTTAAAATAATCATTGAAGGTAGTTTTACCAGTTTCGTGCAAATATTTTCGTTTGCATTCATATTATTTTAAGATGCAACTTGGTTCATTTCATCCTTATTTTCACAAACTTCTAAGGAAGAACAAAATATTTATCAATACTTACAGTACAAGTTTAAACAAAAAATGATAATATGCCACTACTATATCAATTAAGTTATTATTGGAACAATATGTATCACAATATGACAGTGGTATAACTATATTTTAGTTAAAATGATGCCTCAGAGGGCTTTATTTCCACACTATTTTTATGTCATTTGCCATGCTGGCTTGTTGCACTTTGCAGTAAGCTAGGCTTCACACATACATCTTCCAGAGTTCATAATCAAATGAAGCTACTTGAACCAGAAGGATCAATATTAAACATAACAAAATATCTTGGTCCAGTTCAGTTTTACACTGAACCTAGTTCGAACTAAACAAGTACATTTAATTTCAATGCACTTACATTCCAGATGACAAGGTTTTCAAATATTGATTAAAATTGTGCAGTTCTTGTCACTTTCATCCACTTGAAGTGATTATAAATATATATAATGTGTACATGTGCTTTTCTGAATTAGTTAATGACATCATTTTCCTAGAATAAAGTATGGAACTCACACAATTTTTTTCAAATTAATTTTTCTGTTAGCCTCAGCTCTTGAATCTCACCTGATGATGCCAAGTAATCCTGGTCAAACTTGTTAATAAAATAAATAAGTTTTACTGTGTACCACAGATAAAAAAAAACTTGTGCAAGATTTAAAAAATAGTTCTAATATTTAATTAATGGAGTAAGGAAATATTTTTGTTAACAACAGTTTCAGCTTCATAGCAAAGTTTTAATCCAAACCAGCATAACTATACACAAATGGCAGAGAAACTATGGAACTTGCTCACAGAAAAGGCCACAGACATACTTGAAGGAAAAAAACCTCCAACATACTCATTAAATTGGAAGTTTGTGTTTAAATTCACAAAAGAATAGATGTTCGACTCACACTATTTATGGATATTTACAGTTGTTAACTATCTCCTTTTTTTATGTAATACTTGGGTAAGGTATCAATATTCAATACTCCGGTCTACAAATACAATACTTCAAACATTACTGTGAATCAAAGGTATCTGGAGATAGTTGGAAACACCACATGGTGAAGAAACTTAATGTGTACACAGGTTATAGGAATGTTGCCACTATAAAATCATTTCACCCTTGCTACTTTTGTAGTTAACTATAAAAGCACTTCTGGCTTACAATACAGTTGACAACACAGTGACTGTGAAACACTGTATGGTGTTATATATAAGTCAACAGGATATATAGAAAGCTTAACACATGCATTAAATGTAGTTGTAATATTAGCCATCCTGTATGATAATTATCTATACCTTTCACAGTAGGACTACTGAAAAACAAATATAATGTCCCACTTTGCACTATATCCCACTATAAGGATCAATCAGCACTAATAAGGAATATTTTAAGATGCATTTTCCTACATACAATTGGTTTTTAAACATTGCCATTTTTCTCACAAATATAAAAACAATATACTGTTGAATGATCCAAGCAACACATTTATTATTAGAAAGTATTATATATATATACAATGTAGAAGATATTGACATCTGCAGGTGTTAACTTTAGTTTAAAAATACTTTCTTCAGTGCTAATGGCAACAGTATATTTACACCAACATCTAAACTGCTTGCTCTTTTTTTCTTCCAAGTGATGGAACTATTTCATTTTACACCTTCTTTCCGATTAGATTTATTTCAAATTTTTTATTATTCTAAGTGACTATCAAATTTGAAGTGAATGCAACTAACCTTAAATAAAACTTAAACCACATGATGAATTGAACAATCTTTATAAAGTAATTCATTTTCCACTACTAAGTTTTAACTATGTCAACAGAAATATGACAGTAAGTAGTTTTACACATGGTGTTTGTAACATTTAGAAAAACATACATTTCAATTATTCAAGTTGGCTAACAACATCTTACAGATGAATAAGCTTATTTTTTGGAAAAACCAGGTGCACAAAACACTTTTTCACCAATATGTAGCAAGATTTGTTAAAGTTCTGGCTCATTAGATATTGGTGAAAAACAAAAAAACATTTAGAACTCTACATCTTGTAGAGGAAACTAATACCTAAATTCCAACTTCTGCTCACAACAAGACACTTGGCAAAAAGTACAATGCACTTAAATTAGCAATGTTTAAGACAGTGTGGATCTGCCACATTGCTACCTACTGCTGTTCATCAAATAAAAAATTTCAAACTAAGATTCCAGTCTTAGTGTGAATCCACACAGTGTATTTTTATTTAGACATATGAGTTAAAATTGAACAACTTGCACAGCAGGGTGGCCGTATTCTTTCGAAGTTCCCAAGACCCATACACTGATGTTAAATTCTTACTCTACTTAATGAACAACACCCCTTTAACTTGTAATAGGGTTATTAAAGGATAATAAAAACTTCAGAGTAAGATTATATTTAGAGAACAACTTCCTAGCTTTATAGGAGACAAAATGTGTTTATTTATAAAGGAATATTTGATTTAACCTGTTCTAAAATATAATGAATTAATTATTATCACTGACCAAAATTAAGTTAAAATATACCATTCATTGGAGATGTCAAGCAACATGGTTTCTGTTTGTGCAGAATTAAAGATTAGATTATGTGAACAGCACCCCCCTCAAGTTGAAAAAGAAATATACCATCTATCTACATTCCAATTACAAAACCAAGCATATTCATGAAACAGGACACATTTTTAAGCAACACTCAACCAACATCAGCCAGTTTAAGATGCCAGTCTTAGATACAATTTACAGAATCACTTCACTCCTTTGCTAAGGTTTTCATTTATTCCATGAAAGCAGCCTTAGCAAATTACTGAAAATAGGATGACTTCTTCCTTCCCTAACAACTGTCCACACACCAACAACCCTCTGATAGCTGCATCTTCAACAAAATGCTAATATCAATAAATTAATAGTGCTTCTATCTTGACCATTACAAGAGATTCAGTGACTAACCCATCACAACATCAAGAACTTTGGCCCTTTATATTCCTGGGGTTCCAGTCTCATCAGTAGAAAAACCTGAGACTTCAAAGGCAGATAAAAAATATGATCCTCCCCCTCCTTAATGTTTATGGTAATAACTCTGCCTACTTCCATGTAAAGCTTGAATTCATGGAGAAAAGCCACTTCTGGTTTTCGTAACATATACTGGTGAGTAAGCTTTCCTTTATTTTTTGTCACAATTGATGTTCATTCACACAGGAGCCTAAAGTGTTGTTCACCCATGATGAAAGCTCGTATTGTTACATACATACACAAACACGTGAAAACTACAAACATGATGTAAACCACTGGTTCCACAACAAGGAAGGCAGATGGTGCATGAGTACTTACAAGAAGCTAGACTAACATTTACACAAATTCATTAGTTCCAGGCGACGTTAGGGGTTCCATGCTCTGTAAAAATAAAAAAAATATTTTAAGTTCTTTAAAATGGTTTTATTTAGTTTTACATAGGTTTCTCAATATTAAAACAGTAAACCAACTTTATTAACGTTCAATAGTGAGATGTACGATTGTTGTCATAGGAATCATTAAGTAAATGTCCAGCAATTCAAATATTCTTAAACATCATAATAGATCATTTAAATTTCATCTTAACTCTCTTGACACAGACTCAGTCAATTTGAATGAACATGTGACCTCTTTTGTATTCCGTACTCATTTAAAGTCTTTATAGATTTAATACTTCTAATTTTAAATTTGGCAATATTTCATAATAAACTAAAATAAAGATTTGTCCATGAATATATTGAACAGAGATGAAAGTGTCCCTTTCC